GTTGAAAGAAATATCAGGTGAATTAATAAATTTGATTGAACTTTAAAGTTCAAAGTTTAAACATACAGGTGTTTGTGATAGTTATTGAAAGCAACGGAAAATGTTTTAATCAATATAAAGTATAAAATCAAAAATTATTTGAAGTACGATCGATTAAATAAATATAAATATTATTTTAAATATAATATACTTTAAATAAAAGTATTATTTTAAAAATAGATTAATTAGAAACACGCGAAAAAGAATATTATATCGGGGTAAAAATTTGTCACGTATAAATTAGCTAATTGGACTTCTTTTTAAAACAATTTAAATGTTTTTTTTTAACACCGAAGATTTTGAAAAAATATTAAAAACCCTATTAAGAACTTAAACACGAAGAACGTACTTTTGATTCTGTTTCAAGGTTCTGACCTTAAAATGAGCTGTTACACACAGTCTTAGGCGCTTTTGTCTCGAGAGTTGCGATACTTGAAACTTGCTGTGGTTTGACGCTTCGCTGAATCTACTACTCATCTTGTTTCGTTGCCTCTGTTTGTTTAAGCTTCGAACCTCGAAGAATCTATCCAATCTTTGAATTTAATCCTCTCGTAGAACAATGCCACATATATATACGTTCACATATTAACCACAATTTCAATTTTTACAAATGTGCATCGATACGACAAATAAATTTAATTTCCTCTTAATTTCTATTAAAAACACACACGCTTCTCCAAAAAAAAAAAAAAAAAAAAAGAAAAAGATAATCCCCAACAAAAATTCCATTTCGATTCACTGATCAGAATTTGACCCAATTTCCTTCACCCAAGATTAAAGGAAATCGAATAAACGACCGTACCCATAATAAATATTTATATATATAAAAAAAAAAAAAATCGAATCAAGCTCGTACACGCGCTGCGCCATCCAACATCAAACAAATATTAATCCTTTGAAATAAAATTACAACGGTATCCGCTTCGAAATTTCGAAAACGTCGAAATTGGAAAACTCGCGATCCATCGAGCCATAAACTCTGGAGGGGGAGAGGGTGGGATTTTTATTTCATCTCCGTCGGTCAATTTGCCGACTCCCCCTCCCTCTCCCAGTTGCCCACTGCTGACGTCCCCTTCACAAAGGAATTTCGCTTCTTCTTTCGTACACAGTTTTTCCTCAACGCCTGCATACAAGACAAAAGGAAGACGAGCCGCTTCTCTCTCGAGCGCGTGCTCAAGAGGTTTTGCAAGCTCGCTGAATTTCTATACACCCGGCTCGAGAAGGTCTACCCACTCCTACCCCTCTTACTCCTTAAACCTATTCCTCCTCGGGGACCTCTTATGCACTTCACCGTGCGCCGTTACTAAGACTTTCCCACGGCTGTGTGTCCCCCAGGTAATCTCTGTGTCTTTCGGATTTCAGACTCGCTCGAGGCAACGAGGATAGACACGCGTGGCATGATTCCTTTTCTTCCTTTTTCTTTCTTTTTTTTTTTTTTTTTTTTTTTTTTTTTAAATTTTTTTTTTTTTTTTTTTTTTTTTTTTTTTTTAAACTTTAATTTTTTTCTTCTTCTTCTTCTTCTTCTTCCTCCTCGATGCTCTCGAGCAGTTGTTAAACGCTGCTACTTTTACTTTTTATCCGTTGTGCGAGTAGGAATGACAATTTTTTCTTTTTTTTCTTTTTTTAGATTTTTATTTAAACGGTTTATTTATAAATGGTTGCAGTTGTAGAATGATAGGGTTATTATGAAAAGGTTTATTAATGAGGATGTTAAAGAAAATTTCAAATTAATGATGGATGTTTAAATTTATTGTAAAAAATAATTAAATACGTATAATGATGTTTTTGGTTGAAGTATTAATTTTTAGGTAACTGTAATTTTACCAGTTGTAATATTTAAATGATGTTATCGTAAAATATGTTCGATAATTATAATAATTAATTTTTCTTATCTTAATATATTATAATTGTTGATTTTAATACCAGAAAATGATACAAAATTGGACGCTATATAATTTTAAATTTAATGCTTACGAGTAAATATAAAAGATACTGTTAGGTCGTTTAAATGTATGCACATATATGATTTCGATTAAGAATAATCGTGTAAGATATATTACGGTATATTAATCGTGAGGTAATTTCTCGATAGAATGGGAAAAAGAGACAGTGGCCTGTGATAAAGCGTGAGTTGAAAGTGTGGGATGAAATCTTATTTTCTTCGTTGGAATTCATGTTGTAAGAGTAATGGCTGACGATGTTTCAGTGCATACACGCGAGAGAATCTTAGCGGTTCTTCTTTCTATAAATTAGTCATTTTTTCCATTCAGTGTATATATTTATACCGTGCGACCATGGTTCCTTGTAAAAAAAAAAAAAAAAAAAAAAAAAAAAAGAAAGAAAGAGGTAACGGTCGATGTCTTCTCATAACTTAACACGCTTCCTTTCATCATAGTTTCTCGATATTTCTTCAAATATGATCAATCGAGAAATCACTTTCTTTTTTGAGTGATAAATTACGTCACTTGTTTATATTGTATTATTTTTTTACATTGAATTTTACATACTTTATAGAAGGCTAATGTATCACAAGAATATTCTTGATATTTATCGATATATATTTTTTTTTTTTTTTACATTTCGATCTTCTCAGTTACAATTTTTTAATAATTTAAGAAATCTGTCTGTATAATTCGAGTCAATAATTTTTCACGTAAGACGTGTGATCTATTAATCTTCCTCAGAATATGATCTTGACAAATTTCACGATGAATGGTTTCACAATGTTGACCTTTGAACCTTAAAAAATCGTAAAGAAACATAAAGGATTCGATTCAAAGAGAGAAGATTATGAAAAAAACCTCAGAGCTTCTTAGAACTTCGATATTTTTTTTTTTTTTTTTGTACGAATCTTCCATTTTCTCTAACAAAAGATGATCGTCTTATTCGTTTTCTTTTTTATTGAAAACTTTTTGTATAATAATCTTGACAAATTATACTCGATATAAGAAATATTCTTATATTCTTATATTCGATTCTTCTCGATTAGAAAAATTATTCACATCTTCACGAATTTTATGAAACATATTTAAAACATATTTTCCATCGAATACGATTTACATTAATCTTTATCTAAACAGAAAAGAAATAATCAATCTCTGATAATATTTTAACATTTCATTTTTTATAAATTACTGAACAATAAAGTGAATTAAATGAAAAACATTTTTTTATGTACAAACATTATTTCTTCGACGAAACTTTTTGAATTCATTGTTTTACCAATTGTATAATATAAAAAATACACATGCTAAAGACAAAACATTTATATATTAACAAAAATTCCAACAATTTTTCATCTTTATACTTGAATCACTTTTTCTTTTTACATTATACAATTACAAAAAAATCCATGAAAATTCATCATGCTCATAAAAGATTCATTCGCGCTCGAACAAAAAAAAAAACCGCCATCCAAAACCATCTAGCGGAAACATCACGAGGCCCTATCAGCCATCCACCGTCGAAAACGATTTCTCCAATAACGCTCGATCCGTTTCATAGATCAACCTCTTATCCTTGTCGGTACCACTATTCTCCTTCGTAAAAATCGTAGGAAAACGATGGCGAAAAGCCAGAGCGATACGAACGGGTGACTTTATCGAGGCCGTTTTTTCCTCGACGTTCTAAAAATCGTAGGACGGATCAAGGGATTTATCTTTTTCTCGATGGCGCCGTTATTCGCTCGATCCCTTTATGGCCGCGTTTCGATTCTATCGGCCACCTTCTTTCACCACCTTTGCTCTCTTATCACGAGAGCAAACGAAATTGATAAGATAGGGGGAGAAAGGGGCTCGCGTTACTCGCTCGCCTCGTGTCCTTTTCCACGAGGTGGAAACGCAACAGCCGCGTTAATAAAGTCGTGTCGTCGGTTCTCTGGGATTTTACACGCCGCGATGAGGCGAAGACACGACGGGGCTTTGTGCTTTGGATATACGCTCGAGAACCGCGTTCCTCGTGGTTACAATGACTTCCGTTACGTGGCGGCTGTGTACACGGAAGCGGAGGTGGCTGCTCAGGTTTGGTTCTAATTACGATCGAGGCGCTGAGAATTCTCTTGTCTGCGATATAGACGAGAACTATTTCTCTTCTGGGCGAATTCTAATTGCGATCGCTTTCGAGGAGATAAATTTTAATCGGTTGTTTATTCTTGTTGTTATTATTTTTTCCTTTTTCTTTTTCTTTTTTTTTTTTTTTAATTATGGGAAAATTATGATCGAGACGAAGAGAGATTACGAATTATCCCTCGAATTTTTTGAGCTTAATTGGAATCCAGATGCTGAGAATTCTCGTGACTCCTCTCGTGCTATTTAAAGTGTATTCTGTTTTAGTTTGATGGATCGGAGGAGTCGTTTTATAGAGATTCGTGGGAATTTCTGTTGCACGATGAATAACCTAGTTTTTCGCATACGTGCAGGGAAGAGATTTAGAGAGACTTATTGAATCAATATTTAGTCGTGATAGTAAGTTACGTAATATTTATTGGCCTCGAATCTATATGAAAAAATTCATTGTATTACACGTTCTATGTAACATACGTACTCAAAATCATAGAATACTTAGAATTAAATATGTATCTAATTTTTATCGTTCGTTAGATAACATTTTTAGATTTCCAACAAATTGTATTATTATTACATTAAATCTAAAAAATAATGTGCATTTGGACTATATCAAAAAGATGCTAATTATTATTATTCCTTGTACGTTCTACGCTATCAACGCTCCACGCTCGATCTAATCTCCACCGAGACAGGAAGCGAAACTTTCAATCCCCAAGGACCCAAGGGATCCTTGGAAACTCTAGGTATCACGTTAATCCCCGTAAACTTTATTGAAACCTCGCCAACGGGGATCGATCCAAAGCCTGGTTCGCAAAAATTCGTCGGAAGCGATCCAAAAAAAAAAAAAAAAGAAAAAAATAAAAAACCTAACTCGAAAATTCGAATTCGTTTCAACAGAGGCGGGAAACTCTCCATCCCCTCCCTCCGATAAACAGCTTCTGATTGGACGTGCACGCTCGTCGACGACGTACAGGGCATCCCCAATTTGAATAAAATTGCGAAGGGAAAGGAGGAAGATCGGTGGAAATAGAAGGAAAAGGTGGAGAGGATTGGGAACGGGAGGAAGTGGCGAAGGATGTAGTCGAGGGTTTCGGGGACGGATGACGGAATAGAAAAGAAGAAAAGGGGGAGAAGGGACGAAAGGAGGATGGAGGCGAAAGAGGAGTCGTCCGGGTTGTGGAGGGTGACCGAGGGCTGAGAGGGGAAGAGAAGGGAGGGGGGGTGAAAAAAAAGAAGAGAGGATGCACAAGCACACGAGCCAACTACGCGGTCCCGGAAGCGGACACCATGTTGCTAACAGGGGTCCTGTCAGAAGATGGAACAGCTTCCACGGCGGTGGAAGCGTCGGCGGAGGCGCGAGTAATTTCAACGACACCGTCGGAAATGGCAATCTGCCCCCCGGTATGATCACCAAGGCTCCCCAGGAGCCGTTCAGGGCCGTGCCCAAGGCTGTCCAGGCCCTGAGGAGCGAGTCGGTCGACAGGAGCCATCGAGCCCAGCCGCCTCCGCCCCCGGCCTTCCCCCGAAGACGGTTCTCCGTGTGGTGAGTTTGGAAAATTTGAATTCCAGAACACGTATTCTAGTTCCTAGGTTTGTTCTTACCCTTTATTTTTACGTTAAGCTTTTCTTAATGAGGTTAAGAATATTCCAGATATTATAAGGTAAGTGTGGATCGGTACAAAATTAGATACGAATTAATGAATTTAGAAAATGTTTGGAACTTGCAATAGAATATATTTTTTATACTATTGCAAAGCTATAATTAATTTTGTATTCTTTTAAAACTATAGTTTATTCTTACAATTATTCGAATAAATAGCACTATTTCTTCATTTATCATTAAAGGCGATCAATCATTGAACTTTATTATTCAAAATGGGAAGATTACATTCGACAAAATTTTAAAAAATTTTTCGTTCGATCGAACCTATACGCCATGTTTGCACGAATTAATCACTCCGATAATTAATTCTCGAAACCATTCCGCGTAAATTAACACGGACGCAACATAAATCATCTGGTCATGCGTATTATTCGAACAGGATGAATCCTACCCTTGATACCTACCCTCCCCACTTCAAAATAGGATTACTCATTATCAACCAATTTTTATAATCGCGAGCAACGGTGACTTAGTCTGCTCGTAAATCAATCTTTTATTCGCTCCATCGCTACTCGATTTTCTCAAAGAATTCTGCAAGCAACATTATTATGTTTCATTTAATTTTTCGGCCGCTGTTCGATTCGTCAGTATGATGTTAAAATCGCGATTGATGAAACGAGGCGGTGAATGAAATGAACATGATGCTCAACATCCTGGATTATAATAAATCGCGTATTTTCTTCTCGCGTTAACGCGAAATTGGTGCACGATGACGGCGCATCTTTTATTGACGCAACATCGTAACAAAAATTTATCCGTCGTATAACTCAGCGTAACGCGTTGGCAGAGACGTGCGTTACAATCTGAATATATTTCAATTAATCTCCATAAAAGCTCGGACAACCGACCTCTATGTCTCCTCCGTGCGATCCTCTTCTCTTTCTCTCTTTTTTTTCTTCTTTCGCCTCTTTTTCGCTCCTCTATATTTTTCCTGTTTTATCGTTCGATGGTAGGAATGCATTACATCGTAAACAAAGTAAAGGATAGACGTGACACGTGATGTTTTTTCGTATCGTAAGAATTTAGGGATTTTTATATATATATATAGGGTGTTAATTCCTGATTGAAAATCATTTTTGATTCTAGAAAGCAAAACAAATACAAAAATTGAAGTATACAATACAAATACAAATTATTTATAACGTTATAAATGTTTTAAATTTAGATGTTAAATGAAGTGACAAGTAGAGAAAGTGTATATTTAACGGAGATAATTATCTTATGTCACTTCATCTCCATCTCAATATAAATTTTAATTACCTTAATAAATCACTATCAACAAATACACTAATTATTATGTATTGTATATTAATTATGCATTCATTTTGAAATTGATTCTTCAAATATGTCTCACGAACATCCTATATATGTTTCTTCTGAGCATTGCAAGGAATCCATATACTATATTTATATATATATATTTTTTAAATATAAATTAATTTTATTTAATGCATAAATTTTATACGAGAAATAAAAGTCGCGAAGTCCCATAAAATATCGGCCCGTATATGACGACACGTTAAAATTACATAGTGTCGAGTATGGCATATAGATTGAAATTTAACGACATAACTCGGGCTTCAGCGATCGAAATCGTCCGGGGTGGAAATAAGCTGACAATTGCGATGGCTGGGCTTGACAGCCAATCAGAAATAAAAATAAATTTTTAAAGGAAGAATGAGCGTGTTGCTGCGATGTTGCAAGTTTCTACGAGATATTGTAAGAAGAGGCAAAGTGATACTCGTGAAAATATCAAGTTTATCGGGTAGAGGTGGTGGTGCAAGCATTACACTTGGCGATTTAAAGAGGGATGAAGATTTTTGTGAAGAGGAATATTTAAGGGCGATTAAGAAGAGTCTTTTGAATTCGAGAGAACGATGGTTTTTTGAATATACATTTCTTACATTTCATAAGAAATAAATTTATAAAAGAAGTCTTGAAATGTTAAAAGAGTCTGAAATTATAAATATTTCTCGAGTATACATAAAATCCAACGGGACAGTTCGTCTCACGAGGTCGTGAGAAAACTTCGTGACATACTAGATTACGAGGACATTTTTATCGTTTACAAATTAGAAAAACAGTTACACCGGTAGCGGAAGAAAAGAAGAAAAAGGGATTAATAAGAGGTAATGGAGTAGGTTGAAATATTTCATTATACCGGTTATGTTCGAGAACAAGTCTTGTTAAATACAATGCATAGCGTCACGAAGTGACCAAGAAAATTCATTCTGGCATGCTTGGAGGTTAAAACAGGGGCGGGGATTAGTGTTTTACTAAATGCAGAGTCACTTTTTGGAAGAGGGAGGGGGGAAATTGCGAAAATTCTTTGAAAACACCCTTGAAAATGAGAACAGAGCGTTGGAATAAAAATGTTTGAATAAAAATTTCAATGAGAAAAGTTTCATTTAGGAAGGAAAAATGCGGAGAAGATTGTTGAAGCGATAAATTTCTTACGTGACAAAAATAATATTTTTGAAGGAGGTTGATGTGAAATAAAGTATCTTCTTTAACGATTGTCGTTGAACCAGTACGATCAGATCCCACATTCGACCCACAGAATTTCCAATTAAGAAATTTACGAGATTTCATTTAAAAATCGTAAAGTATCGTTAAATCTAATTTCATTGTAAAATGGCGTCAATGATGAAGTCCCTCGTAAATTTTGTCTTGAGAATATAATAACGTCGCGTAACGCAGGTTTTAATACTGGTCATTAGTTACAAAATATGAGTTTTCTTTTATCTTATCGGTATGTAAATTACTTTCATAAAAAAAAAAAAAAAATAGATAGTCGACCTTAATGCTAAACAGCTATATACACGGGGAAAAAAGAAAATAATTATCTTTATCTACTTTCAATAAATTCTTCTTTATCAAAATTAAACGAGAAACTCCATACCAACATCTTTCTATATACCATCTTTATTCTTCGTAAAAGAACTAACCATTAAAAGCCATCCTTGACCACCAACAAACCATCTTAAAACCCCAAACCACAAATTTTCATCGTAAACCTCAAGACAGTGCAATTTCGAAATATTAAATCGTGCCAAAAATTCTTCCTATCTCTTACACTTTACTCCAATATTTTTCCAAGACTTTCGCGACGAAAGTACAGAAAAATATACAAGAATAATGAATTCCACATATAATACAAAAAAAAAAAAAATTAAAAAGAAACACCTTACAAGGAAAGAAACCCAACGATGGCAGAAACGTTCGAGGCGCATACAACCATAATCTCCAATCACCCCGCCTATCATCTATGGTTAACTCTTTACATGTGACGTTGTATAGGGTCAACCCTTGACAGGATTGCGAGATGACGGAAGCCGGTCCACGTGATCCGCGTCGAATTCAATTTTCCGCGCACACGTGACGCACGTGTTGGCCATCGTGCGTGTATATTCACACGCGTGATACGTACGACTCGTTGAAAGAGAATGGATAAGGAGAGAAGAGGTCAAGAACCTTGGACAACCTTTCGTTTGCCAATACGTATCCCATCGATCCATCGTTGCATCACAACGTTTGATACAGGGGCTGCCAATATTTCCCTTCATTCGTATATTTGCTGGTGTATTCGCAAGATTTATGTGCGTGGTAGAAGTGTAACGCGTCGATTTCTAGAATTGGTTTATACATGTGTGTTCCGTTCTGTTGTCGAAACGGTGAAAAAGATCGGTTGTTGGTTGGAGATTGTTGGTTGGAGAGAAAGAGAAGAAGAGGTGGGTGGTGTATTGGATGGAACGAGCGGAAAAGCGATTGTTAAATGGGGTGTAATGTGTGGTGAGTGTGAGGATATGTGTGAATGATGGAGTGATTAATTTGGGATAGATAGAGGGATCGTTAAGGGGGTTGTTGTTTTTGCTTGCTGTGGTGGATTTTTTGTGGATCTGATGGAAGATATTTGAATATATGGAATTTAATGAATACATGGATTACATATTAGATGATAACTTAATGTGTGAAAGTTTGAAAAAGATGATGTTTACCAGATTATATATTTTTTTTAATAATATTCGAATCTCTAATTCAATCTAGTAATAATATCAAATATTATCACAGAATTATATCATAATTATATATTGAATTATTAATATAATTGCATTATTACGTTATGCATTATGTATCACATTATCTGTGCATTTCTGCTTTGATAATTTCTTTATACATATCCTATTGGATATTATTTACTTGTATTCTGTTTCATGATGTCGTTTAAAATTAGTGTTTCCTTGGTACAAAGCATTGACAAAGTACTGAATTCAGTCCATTGAAGATTAATTAGGATTCTAATAAATTGGAATTCATGATAGTTGGTGATTTATGTAATAGGACTAATAGGACTTCATAAAACTAGATTACCTTAAGAAAGTTAATTATATAACGGATAAATAGGATTCTAATTTTAATCCTTGAATATTATATCTCAAATTTTTTGTAATGTAATTACAAAATAAAAATATCTCTTTTTTATTTACTTCTATTAATCATCGAATATTTGTCCATATTTCTGAATGCTGATATCGGATTACGTTATTTTTCGCGTGCAAAAGTAAACGAGAATTATTGCAAGTCGAGTATGCGGTAATAGAATTGCAGAGTTAAGTACAATTAAGCTGTTATGCAAATGCTTGGCAACATTAATATCGATAACAAGATTCATTGAGGTTATTCTTCTTTAATTAAGTTTGATAATGAAACGAGGAAGATATTTTCGCGCGCAAAATCAAATTTCAATCCTGCTATTTGCACGAATAATTTAAATTAATAAATTTTGCCGTTCAATTTTGTTTTTGTTGTGCGAAGTAAATCGAGTTAAAATTCATTTAATATATTTTTTGCATAGTGTAGTTTCTGTTTGCATAATATTCTGGTCGGCAATCGCAAGGAATTTACGAAAAATAAAATATAAACTAATGTTTGCACACGAGAATTCATCGATACCATACATAACCTAAAATAAAATCGTTGTCCAATCATTGATTGATCGATTAATAAAAAAATAAAAATTTGAAATTCCTCATAAATTTACAATACAAATAAAATATATTTATAGAAACGGACAAACAAATTTTATTCCACGACTACGCGTAATTTTGAACTTCTCATTATAAGATATCCCACGTAATTCCCTCATGAGCATTAATAACCAATTTCAGGACTCGAAACACGGTTCCAAAAAGCCAGCCAACTCCGTTGTACATACCTATCCTACTGCTGCTAATCCATTTGCCTTAATAAATTATGATTTCTGCGGGATACACAGCTACCATATGATCTCGCTTCCAATTAAGGTAATTAATGTACAGCGGGCACGCAATGGTTGCTTTCAAAAGGTTGTTCTTCGGAAGAAATATCTCTTTCTCTCTTTCTCTCTTTCGCTATTGGACGATCCTCGCGTTTAATTCCGATGAAAATAGGACGGAACATCGGTATATTTCATCGAGAATGGTAGAAAGATATTGGAATCGAAGAATTCTCCTTTCAAAACCTATAAAAAGAAAGCATGTCTTTATCTTTTAACGACATTGTTTTCAAGCTTGCCTTGCAAACGTAATGTATCCTTTGAATCCGCTTAATCCTGCGTATCGTGAATTTCTTTCTCTCGAAAGAAGAGTTTCGAAATGTGTCTCCTTTGAATTAATACTTTTTTCAATCGAGTATTAATATTAATATAAGATGAAGATTATTAAAAAAAGAATCGAATGTACGTGATGAAATATTTAATTAAGAAGGAATAGAAAATTATGGTTTGAATATTTTAAAGGCTTTGGATTATTGTTCTTTGTGCTCTTTCTTTGCTCGTATAATGACTCAAAGAAACGCCTTTATGCGTATTATGGAGATCTTACTCTTTGAGTCACATGATATAAAAAGGTCGGTTTATCAAACTGGTATTCTCATGCTTTAAGAATTTATCTGAAAAACGTATATTGTTCAATTATTCCTGAATTTCAATGATATATATCCTTTATTGACAATTCTTATCTCAGAATGTTCAAGATAGAAAAGGTACGTTCAAATAATTTGAACCACAAATCTAATAAAAATTATTATCCTAATTATATATATTACCTTTATTCCTCCCTTTCAATTTACGATTGAACCAACTTTCCGATATTCAAAAAAAATTCTTTTCAAAATTCAAACGAAGCGTCTTCCTCCCATAATTTCCTACGCTACAAATTCCAACGTGGTAGTATTTATACTTTGCCTCCCCGGTCAAACAGATCCATGCCAAACTAAATTAAGCCAACCCGCCACCCATTCGAAAAATGTTCACCTCGATATAGGCCCGGAAATCTCTATTCGAGCGATCCAATGAAACGGGATTAACCAAGATATATTATACGACCTTCGCCAATCGATGCCATTCGATATTTCGTGAAACACCTTGCGCGCGTATCGATTGCGATCGATGTAACGCGCGTGTAAATACGTTTATCAGCCAGTAAAAATAATACACGCTCCCACGACAAAGGGAGAAAATTATGCCGGGAGCACGAGCGCCGCCATTGTTCGACCCCCTCGATTCACGCTTAGCCACGGGAGATTTTTGCCGAATCCGAAGGGTGGAAATTCCTGGCTAATTCGAGGAGTGGAAGGAGAGAGAGAGAGAGAGAGAGAGAGAAACATCTGTCGATGGCTCGTTCTCTCGTTCTCGTCGGTTCGTAAACATTTAAAAGCCAGGACACCGCAACAATGGATGTATTTACGCGAGTCCGCCATCCCCTTTCGAGGATATTGCATCGCGCTCGTGTTTTCGGTGATAAATTGCATTTCCGGCGATGACTTCCGTGTCGATGCAACGGCCGCCTCCCTCTCGTGGAAGCTGAATGTTATTGTTGGACGAAAGAAATTTATGGCACGCTGGATGGCCATCGGTTCGCAACCCTTTAACGAAGGGCGGCCAACGATAAAATCGAAATTGTTGGGCGCGTATCGTGATGTCGATATCCGCGGATCATTAAACGGGGAATGGCGTACATAAATGCGGGGACCTTTGGGTGTTAATTCGTAAAGAGGGTTGAGACTTGGGGTGAGAAATCACCTTCACGCCCGATCGGTGTTTTAATTCTTCTGTGGGTTTGAATTCTTTTGTATTTTTTGGATTAATATTCCTTGGAATTTTAATATTTTAATTTTTAATTTTAATAAAAATTATTCTATTTTCTCTTCGAGATTTTTTGGTACTAAATCATAGCCGCGTTATCTTTAAGTGAGATTTCGTGTTCAAAAATTGGATCGTGCTTTCATTCTTTTTATCTCTATCGAAAATATAAAATTGAACGGGAACTTTTCATTATATAAAGTAACAGATAAATCAAAGAAAAAGGATCCAACGAAAAATAACCAACTTCTTCTCCAATTATTATAATTTCTTCTGAAAAAAAAAAAGAATAAAATATATGATTTTACTTTCCAAGGTAAAAGTTTTTACCTAAACTTCGAAAAAAAGGTTTCTCGAGCATGATTGTCGAGAACGGATTTTAAATCACGTCATTTTCTGTTGCAGCTTTGGCAAGCGGACGGGTGGCAGCGCCAGGAGACCCAACGAATGCTTCGTCCTCGAGCCCTCCGAGATGATCGTGGTGAGTCCTGCTTGTTAAAAATTATATAAAATTATATTAAATATCGAAATATTTGTTCTGTACGATGCAATAGTGCACGAATCAGAATTGACGTGTTGTGATTTTCACGTTGAAAAATTTCCCGCGCCCGGAAACTTTCGTCGCGAAAACTTCGTTTCGCGCAGGGTTTTACGTTTAAAGGAAACGAGGAGCGTTTTGGCACGGCTCGAATCGCAGAACTTCCGTTCAAACTTCTTGCACGCTCGACGATTAAATTTAAAGGGAAGAGGGTCGAGGCTGTTTCGCGCAATCAAGCTGAATAGACCGAGGGGTAGTTCGAACCCCCTTTTCGCGTGATTTAATTGTTCGTTGAATGACGTTTAATATTCGAAGGAATTTCTTTCCCTTCCCTTCCTTCGTGTCTTTGTTATTTTCTGTTGTTGTTGATATAGCCAATAGAAATAAATTGGATAGTGAAGTGAGTTTATATTTTCTATTTATCGTTACTTGCCGCATTAGATTTTTCATATTTAATACTTTATTTCTCATACTCTTGATTCAATCCTAAAATTAGATACAGATAATTTTTACATAACTTGGTACTTATATAACATATGGAATAATGTATAGAAATTTCGATAATATCAGAATTAAACGTTTAAAATACATTTATTAAAAACTACATTTACGTGGAATTATTACAAATTAATAAATCCTATTTTATCCCATTTAAACAAAAGAAATCGTGTCTCTGAGAAAAACATCTCAAGAAACAAGAAACACACGTTTCATAATTTCGAAAGTAATAATTAAATTTTTCCACGTTCACTTAATCAACAACAAGG